TACATTAGACCCCGCATCCCTTTTTTCTCCTTCAAGCTTCTTTTATAATTAGAGGCAAAGAATTGACGACTCTGCAAGTTGGTTGTGTTTTGAGTGCATAGGCAAGGCTGCAAGAGTAGTACAGAGCTTGGAGTTAACCAAAGTATGATTTGCTGCGTCAGGGAGATGGAAGACATTCCAAAATACATATTCTTAGCTATGGCTGCATTGTTTTGAGTTTGACATTCATGATTCTCTTTTGTTGTATCTACTTTGGAACACGATGTATATAACACCTTAAGTCCTGTCCCAAAACAGAAAGGGAAAGAAAATTTTGGTCACCAGGAAGATTATAGTCCTTGTAGGTTCGATGGGTTTTGTGATTACTGGAAAACATTGAAAGAAGAATAAAAAGCTTACCACAGGGGGTGTGACTGTTGATCAAATCCAGGACATCTGGGCATGTATTGTCAGCATACATGAATTGTGAGGGAGTGTCTAAAAATAGATGTGATAATATGCTGAAACGCCGACAGGTGTGGATGTATGCTCATCTCAATTAGTTGTACCCAATTAATTCAGTCCATTTATTTTAAGGGAACTCTATTTTATATTTTGAATTATATTTATATTGGATTATAAAATAAGAACTATTAAATAGTATAAGAGTTCAATATCAACAGTTTAACTTTATTTAATGATTAATATGGTACAGTTTATGTTATATTATATTTTTTTACTGTTTTTATCATCAGTTGAACGGCATACTCAGTTTTTTAGGAAGTAGCAAACTCATGGAGGAATTATACCCGTTTAACGGTGCTTTATTGTGTTGCTAATGCTATCAGGTTTAGGTACTTATAAGCAATTTAAAAAATTCTAGGAAACGAGCTCTTAATGTGTTTCGTATGGAATACTAGGTCTCTGAAAACAAGCTACATTTCTGGCTGGTCCCAAATTGCACACTAAATCTAATTGCCAAGAGAAATCCAGCTGTTGAAGTACCATATACCAATGTATTTCTATGTGAATTATTTTATATACTTTTTAGTAACATATATTATATTCGAATTATTTTACATACTCATCCATGTGAAAAAGGAGATGCTTATTCTTTGCTTAATGTTAATATTAAAGCAATGGACTGATCTTTTGACAAAAAGAATTCAAAAGTTAAAAGCACGCGCTGCAACACCACACCAATAACAAAGAATAAAGGTGGGAAAAATGCCAATTTAAGCCTGAACTTCATGACTCACTCATTTTCGCTCCCCATAAATTGTTTGGTTTATTTAGACCGTTAGGTGTTATCATTTCAAGAAATTAATAAGTACAAAATATATTGGAAAATGTCATGTTGGGTGCCAACACAAGTTCATTAACTAATCTTACATAACTAATAAAATTAGAAAATAAAAAGAAATATCCAATAGAAAAAGGGTAATAGCATTAGTCAATGAGAAAATAACTTTGTTTTGTTTAAATTGGACTTCACTAATAAACTTAAAAGGTTACAACGTCTAAAATAAATCAAAAAATTCATCGAGGGCAAAAGCAAAACAATGGATAAAGTTTGAGGGCTTTAAATTAAAGTTTCTGAAAGAAAAACTGAAAAATTAGATCATTAGCGCCAGTTTCTTTTCCGACCCAAAAGTTTCTGAGATTCTTCGTCCGAAGAACATAGTGACAGTGTGACACTGCCGCCGCGCTAACACTTCTGTCCGAAGAAACTGTCCCCCAATTCCCTCCTTCAATTGTCTTGTCCCCTCACCTCCCCGCCACCACCACTTCCGCTCTCCCCACGTGATTCCTCCGCCACCCCACCCACCTTACTTCCCCCTTCCTCCTCCTCCTCCTCCCACAACTTTACCCATCTTACTTTCCTCCTTCTTCAATCAATATTGCATAGCCATTGCCACCATTCTCAGCTCAAAATAAATGTCTTTAACTTGCGGGCTTGAATGCGTGGTGTTCATAGGCTTCGCCCGGTGGGCATGGAAACGCTGTACCTACGTGGGTTCCAACGACAGTGAGACTTGGCCTCCAGCCACACCGGAGGAGTTCGAGCCCGTACCTAGAATCTGCCGCATAACCCTGGCTGTTTACGAGACCGATCTCCGCAAACCCCAATACGCTCCCAAAGGTGGCTACCGACTCAATCCCGACTGGGTCGTCAAGCGCGTCAGCTACGAGCAGACCGAAGGTCGATCCCCGCCTTACCTCATCTACCTTGACCATGACTTCAAAGAAATCGTCTTAGCCATTCGCGGCCTTAATCTCGCGAGGGAAAGCGATTACAAGGTGCTGTTGAACAATCGTTTGGGAAGGCAGATGTTTGATGGGGGTTATGTGCACCATGGTTTGTTGAAATCTGCGACTTGGTTGCTGAATCAGGAGTCGGAGACGCTGAGGAAACTGTGGGAGGAGAATGGAAAGGAGTATTCGATGGTATTCGCAGGGCATTCTTTGGGGTCGGGCGTGGCGGCACTGATGACTGTGGTCGTGGTGAATGATAGAGACAAGGTCGGTGGGATTCCGAGGAATAAGATCAGATGTTACGCTGTGGCACCGGCAAGGTGTATGTCGCTTAACTTGGCTGTCAAGTATGCCGATGTCATTAACTCTATTGTGCTGCAGGTAAGCTCCTTATCTTTTGAACATACTCTAATTTCTCGTGTTCTGGATGATGTTGCCTTGAATTCTGAATTTCAATTTTGTATATCAAGACGGCGTGGCTTTTTAACTGAATTTCTTAGAAATTTGTTTAAATACTCTTAATCTTTCTTCTGTTTTGATTCATTAGAGATATTTTAGTCTTTTCATTCTCATTCCCGACATTTTAATTGTCAGGAGAGCCTGATTTTCCATGTTAAGATTATGATAATTTTATCATCTTAACAGAAATTTATAATTTGTACCCAGGATGATTTCCTGCCAAGAACACCAACTCCTTTGGAGGATATTTTTAAGTCTCTCTTCTGGTTAGTGTTCTTCTGGATGATAGTTTTGCATTTAGATGGTCTAATTAGTGCTCATCTTTACTTGTTGGAGACTTGTAATGAATTACTAGAGGCGTTACTGTAACATCCCTGAAACCTCGTCTTGATTCTTTGGACAGCTTGCCCTGCTTGTTATTGTTGGTCTGCTTGAGGGATACATTCATACCAGAAGCTAGAAAACTTGGAGATCTCAGAAGGCTTTATGCACCTGGGCGGATGTACCATATTGTAGAGAGAAAATTTTGCACGTATTAACACTTCAGAATTCTTTGTTCTTTCTTCTTGTGTATCATCTGAGGCTTCTTACAGGATTCTTCAAAAGTTCCTTGCTTGCTAGCTAGTGTTTGGTGCTTGAGACTGAACTAATATTGGTGATGGTTATGATAAATATATATGCCTAACTTTTGCAATGCCTAACTTGCAGCTGCCTGCCTGAGCATGTTTTTGATTTCTTTTCAGTTCTTTTTTGCTGTTTTTCCATCTGATTTTGATGAAAATTATTTCTACTTGAATAATCTCCTTGAGCAGTTGCTCATCATATAAAATTTGCATTCTTTAGATTACTTGCATAGCTGTTCTCTGTTAATTTAATGACATCAGTCAAAATCATGAGGAAGACAGGTTATTACCATCACATTTTCACTCGACATTAGAAAAAGAAGCATTGAGCTCCATTGTTGATCAGTCATTCATTTCTTAACTTGATGCATATATCTCTTTCCTTCGAGCATAGCTGGATTTTACGGAGCTCCATTTGAGGGTGGAGCGCCATGGTGGAATGTTCTTGGTTGACACATATCTTTCTAACGTTCTACACATTCTGTCTTAAAAGTTTTTGGGAAGTGGTCTATTCTTGAAGTAGTGCAAATAGTGACTGCTTGCGTTTAAACCGAGTTTTCTCATTTTCATTTGTGTTCATAGATGTGGGAGGTTTCCTCCTGAAGTCAGAACTGCCATTCCTGTAGATGAGAGATTTGAACATATTGTCTTATCGAGGAATGCTACTTCTGATCATGGAATAATTGCAATAGAACGGGAATCAGAGAAGGCTTTAAAGGTAAGTTGCTTGCCTTTTAAGTTTATAATTATGCTAACCTTCAATTTTATTTTGTTGTACTTAATTTTACCTTTCAAATACTTCTCATAGCTAATGATGGAAAGCCCGCCAGAGCCAACGGTTCCTCCTAAAGTCCAGAAACTGGAGAGGTTGGAGACTATTGAGAAAGAACACAAAGATGCCTTAGAAAGGGCTGTCAGCTTGAATATACCTATCGCTGCATCAACATCAGCTAAACCATCAGCAAACGAAACATTACCTGGGAAGGAAGAAATGCCTTCCCAGGCTGAAGGAGATGATGCCCCAAAAACTAAACTGACTTCTAGTTCCAGAAGCGAAAACTGGGATGAACTTGTTGAAAAGCTTTTCCAGAGGAACGATTCAGGGAACCTAGTCTTAAAGCAGGAAACAGATACCCAAGAATAAAAGAATTTTATTTTCTCTCCATCCAATCTTTCTTTGAATGCGTTATTTGAGGCTGGTTTTCACCAATTTTCATTTCTGATTCTTTCTATTTATCCATTTAGTTGTAGATTCTACAATTATAGAAAAAAAAAATTTTTCCATAAATGTACAACCCCATTGGAGAAATACCAGATACCATTAGAGAAGGAAGATACCTTCAAATTGAATGCTCAACTCCTTGATTTCATTATAGAACAAGTGCAAGTAACTTATTCTTTATAATTGACCCAATTCTGATTGCTTCCTCTAATATGACTTGAATAGTCAATTAACAGCAACCCAGCAGAACAAATCATAGAAAATGAAAGATTTTTTTTAACTAGAATTAAAAGTTAACAGAAGGGTGAAGTGTGTTTTGCTACACAGACTGCACTACACTTCACTTAACCATTGATAGAAGGAGCAGGCCCCCTGATATTAAAGGCCACTCCCCCATCAATGGTTAAAAGTAGTACAGTCCACCCAGCATTCTCAAAAGTTAAATAGTTCAGCTTTGCATTTGATAATAAGCTAAGCAGGGTGGAACATCAAATTAAAACTACATAAAACAAGTTGTTCCCAGATCTATTGGTCGGATCGCTTAGATACACAAGCTCCTAATTTGCAATGAAAACAAAGCTGAAGTCTTTGGCTATGGTTCAAGTCTTCAAGCTCCCATGCAAGGGAGCATAGCATCAATTTCATCTCCATTTTTCATTTTCAGCTACAATCCAATAAACACAAACAGAATGAACAAAAAGATCAGAATGTCATAAAGCAACAGAAACATGAAACAAAGACAAAATGGCCAGAAAGAGAATTCAACAGATTTCATAGTTCTGAAAAGAAAAAAGGAAAAAGAGATACCTTCTGTGCAGTATGCCTTGTTGAAACACGTTGGCCATTGTAGAGGAACTTGACCGTCTCAAACTCCAGTTGCTTTCTCTCACAGTATCTAATGAGGAGCTTACGTAACTTGATGTAAGGCCTGATCTTAAAGTGGAGCCGAGTGCCATCCTAAACTCAATTACATAGAAGCAAGCCAAGGAGTAAAGAGTGAGGTGAGGAAAAATGAACATATATCATCTCGGGCTCAAGAGGGGTTC